AGACGCGAAATGACTAAAATGCCCTTGGTGGGGACGGGAATTTCAGCGGTGGCACGGGATATTTACCGCCAGCGCGCGGTACTGGCCGCACCGGCCGCACCCGCGCACCCGCTCGCTGACGGACGGGGCCCTCCAGCCGGGACCCCACAGGTCAGCGAGATCCGGCCAGGCGGAAGGAGTTACCGACGCGCGAGCCAGGCGGGGTCAAACGTGCTAAGGGGGGCGGGATTGGATCTGACGGACGAGATCTGCCGGTGGCTTGATCCGATGGCCGAAAACACATCAAGGGAACCGATCGGACGGCCGAGAGGCCCAAATCGCTGAGGAGCCAGGGGTTTTGACGCGTCTCGTTTTTCTGGAGGTCGCTCTGTAGTAATGTAATAGCTTCCTATAAGAAGATCAATCTCTACGTGGATTTTTAGTAAAAAGGAAATCATAAAAGTATCACAATATCATCCATATGCAGAACATCCGGTCATTATTTAACTATGCTAGTGTGATTGACATTTAGCAGAATTTTATTGTAGCTCACTTATACCAGCCCCATAGTTGAGATAGGTACTAGATTCTTGGCCAGGTACCCAGTATGCACCCGAGGACAAATTAACATTATCCTTAACGACCTATTTGGGAACAATAAATCATATGACGACCAAGTGTTAGCACATTTAAACATAACAATTTCCACACATAAATATTTTACTTCCATGTAGCATAAGAAACCAGAGGGAAATAAACAATAAAAAAGATAACACCCACACGTGTGGGCGTCTGGCAACTCGTCCACACGCATGGATCCTCGTCCAACCAATATTGCACAAATTTTGACGCGTTCTAGCAGTTTTTGTGTGCCACGTAGGCAGGGGAGCGTGTGTGGGAGTTAAGCAATTCGCCCGGACGCCCATTCCTCGCTCGGAGTGGTCGCGGTTGTGAGTCGGACGTGCGGTGGAACTGCTGTCGCGCCCGCATGCCGCGCACGACTCCTATTCACCGTCTCCCACGTCTCCCCATTTTCCCCTCAACGGCGCTGCAGTTTCTCCCCCACCTCCTTCATTTCTTCCCACCCCCACAACAGCAGTTTCATTCGGTAGGAGGTGCAGTCAAGAGGGGGAGGCGGCGGCGGCGGAAGAATAGTGGGTATTCGCGGTCGTCGCTGGTGTTCACCGGACTGGAGCGTCGTTGCCGGAGCAGCCACAACGAGTAGGTAAGGCTCTCGAAGCTTTCTACTGGTCCAGTCTCTCTCCCTTCCTCCCTGGTCACATCCTTCCCGAGCCCTCTCGAGATTCAGGCGGATTCGCGGTGCTCTAGTGTCCCGTCGGCGGTGGAGTCGCGTGTGTGCCATTTAGGCCAGCATTGGCGTAGTTTCGTCGCTGTTGCGGTGGTAGTCAAGCCAGCGAGGCTCACCCGTTCGACAACTATCTCCCTGTTTATGAGAGATTAGATTCCTGCAATTCTATGTGATAGCGATTTCTAATGTGTTTTTGTTAGTATTGATGGTCTCGTAAGCTGTCATTATCACTGTTTTATGGGCGATGTTGTAGTCGAACTCAGGGACTGATAGTTGGGTTTGAACCCTAGATCTAGTTAGGTGCATTTCGATGTGTAGGATAATGGCAGTCATGGCAATTTCAATGCACTCGTTTATCTATATCTATCCTAATAGATGGCAACTAATTTTCTGAATCAACCATGTCAGTTGCCATGTCCTATGTAGGATAATGGCAGTTTGTGTGTTCCAATATACTTCCTTAGTTGCCACTCCGTTTACTACTAACATGGCATCTTGAATCTATTAGATGACAACTCCTTTTCATGAATCCAAGGTGTGAGTTGCCACATTTTTTGTTGTACAATGGTAGTTGTGTGTTCCACTATACTGCCCTAGTTACCACTTTGTTTTCTGCTAACATGACAACTTGAAATTTCGATGTGTGGGATAATGGCAGTCCTGGCAAGTTCAATTCACTTGTTTATCTACATCTATCCTACTAGATGGCAACTAATTTTCTGAATCAACTATGTCAGTTGCCATGTCCTATGTAGGATAATGGCAGTTGGGTGTTCCACTATGCTGCCTTAGTTGCCACTTTGTTTTCTGCTAACATGGCAATTTGAATCTGCTAGATGACAACTCCCTTTTTATGAAGCCAATGTGTCAGTTGCCACATTATATGTTGGATAACGGCAGTTGGGTGTTCCACTGTGGTACCTCAGTTGCCATATTGTTTATTGCCAACATGGCAACTTCAATATGCTAGATGGCAACTCCCTTTTCTGAAGCAAACCTTTTTTCAGTTGCCATGTTTTTGCACTTGTTTCAGTGGTTATTTTTCGCCTACTGTGCATGTTCAGCAGATGGCAATTACCTCCATTCATGCACTAAGACTTGACATGTTTTGTTTTTGCGCAAACATGGCAACATAAATATTTTTAGAACATGGCAACTTATGATTCAACCCAAATTTTGCCAGTTAGCTTATTTATTCAGTCATCCACGTTTCAATTTTTGCTAAATTGTGTTCATGGAGGTGGCAAACTACATATACGCATCATGGCATTATTTTTGCATGCCTTTTCCTCAAGTACTCTTTCTTGTCAGCTGCTTAGTTTTGCATATGAGCATATGCCATGCATTTTTCAGATTGCAGGTGGCAACTCCCTATTATGACACATTGTATACATTTCTTTTTAGTGGTAAACATGGCAGTTTTCATTTTGTTGTCGATGATATCAACTGCCTCGTTACTTCTGCATCTCTTTCTGCATCTGTCGTTTGTGTTTTCATTTATTCTAACATGTTTTTTGTTCTTATCGTAGCTCAATGGCTCGTGGTGACCAGCAAGATGATGACGATGACTTCATGCAGGTACCGCCACGGAATCGTGCGACCGGTCATACAAAAGACGGCGACGAGGTCACTTTCCCCCCTCTGTTTTTATTGTGATACCGAGTTTACATTCATTCGTCAGAACTAATTTCTATTACATTGAACATGGCAAACAATGACCCTTTTGTGTTCTGCAGAAGAAGAAACGTCAGCGCAATAGGGCTTCGCAAGAACGCTTGAATATATTGACCAAGGGTTTTACCGATGACTAGAAGAGAGATGCCATTGAGATGGGGATGCATGCATTGATGGATGTTCGATGCACGAATCTAGTGAACCCTGTATGCGACTGGCTCGGTGAGATATATGATCATGCGTCTAGGGAATTCATCATTCCGGGACGTGGAAGACTCCCTTTGGACGAGGAATTTGTGTTATGCACTTTGGGTGTCCCCCGTGGAGAAATCAAAGTCTCGTATGAGGTGAACAATAAGATTGAGGAAGTTTTGTTCGCCCATTTGTTTCCTAGAATGGCATCCATGGAGGGCCGGTCCTGAGATTTCAGGGGCCCGGGGCGAACTAGAAATTGGGGGCCCTTAATATACAAGTCATTATAATATAAGTATATATATAAATTTATCTAAAAAATAGTTTATATATAAATTACTATCAGTAACACTTCACTCTAAAATCAGTACGCATATCAAATAATTTATACATATTACCTTAAAAATTTCTTCCAACATTCCTCGATGCAAAGTCGCTTATGATGGGGTCGATGTCACTCTCATCCAATAATTTCTTCTCGACGCATAGTGTAGCTAGACCATTTAACCTCTCTTGAGTCATTGTTGACCTCAAATAATTCTTCAACAATTTCAATTTCGAAAAGCTTCTTTCCGCCGATGCGACCGTCACATGCACAATAAATAAGATGTGATAGGCAATAGAGATATTAGGATAGCAGTTGACTTCCCTCACATGCCCGAAAATCTCCATAGCAGACATTACGCCATCTGGCGAAGTTAATTTCATAATCTGCAATTTAGAAATAAGATCGTATACCTCAACATGAGATGAATCATTAAGAGAGAAAGTTTCTGCAAATGTTGTGCAACGTTCTTCGAAGTTCATGGGAACTTAATGACTTCAGAGTGCCCGAGCTCAATAAAAATCCGAATATATCTTTAAACACCAGCGTTGTGTGTGTGTCAATTTCTCCACTTCCTTCTTCTTTTTCCTTTTGCTGCTACCTGATGGATAATTCCTCTTACTGCAGGACTTCATAATAACACATACACAATGCTGAAAATAAAAAAAATTGTTCTATCAATTGTTGAACATTGCCGGCTATGCATCAAAGGAATTTTCTTGTATCAGTATTATATGAATATACCTCAATACGTGATGGAGTGATGGTCAAACTTCAGTGCGTGCGCGTATACAATACAATACAAAGGGGATTGCACAGCACCTAGAGTTTGCAAAGGATTGAGAAGAGAACAATTGAGAAAATGCCAAAGGGGCCCCGGAATTGAAATCAATGGCGAACATATACAGATTACAAAGGAAATTACCACGCGGCGGCGAGGTGGGAGTGCGTGCGTGCAGCGTGCGTGTACGGCGGCGTTGACGGACAGCAGCTACGGCTGGGACCTGGGCGTTGCGTGACTCCGCGTGATGAAAGAGTCGAACAGAACAGGAAGGGAATAGTCCAAGCCGCTTATTGATCGCTTTCTTCTTACGTGAAAGGAAATACCTTTTTTTTGCGGGAAACTATGAGCTTTATTCAACAACAATGGCACCAACACGATCAGCCATCATGCTGGTCATGAGGAAGCCGGGCGGGTAGTCCATCCAACAGTCGGTTACCCCAAGTGTGCTTGCATGTTTCGCACACAAGTGGGCCGGCAGGTTGGCATTTCTTATTACATGTGGAATATCAAAGGAAAGAAAGGATAAGGCTAGCTCATCAATTTCTAAAAGTAACGGCGCTACAATAGAGCGCGAAAAGCGTCGCGAGTGCCAAGCTGGACCATCTCCAAGCAATCTGTTTCCATAGCCACTCGCGAGAACCCCCGGAGCTTTGCAAATATTACCCCATCTTGTAACGCCAACGCTTCTGCAATAAGAGGATCTGTAACATCGGGGTAAGGCTTACTCCAGGCAGCAACAAATGAAGAAGGAGATCTAGCTAAACCTCCTATTCCACTCTTGTGCTCAATCACTGAAATACTAGCATCCGTATTGATTTTTACCCAGTCAACTTCAGGCGGTCTCCATCCATACCCAGGCAGTGTCTTGGTCTGCTCCAATGGGAGTTCCAATAGAGCCAATGTTTCTCTTATACGCTTCATGGATTGGACCGGTTCCATACTCACTCTATCATGTGTTATGCTGTTTCGTGATGTCTAGATCGCCCACATGACAGTAACTATTTTAGCCCTGTCTGCCTCAGTAAAACGCGGATCACAGAGGATATCCTTGCACCACGTACAAGGGTGTAGCTCCGGCAACTTGAGGTGCAGCCAGCTTCTCGCTTCCGCCCAAAAGCTTTGCGCATGAGAGCACTTCATCAATGCATGAAGCATATCTTCATCCATACCTTTGCAGACCTTGCATCGCGCTAAGGTTGCTATATGCCTATGTTGTAGTGTTGTCTCCACCGGTAGTATGCCCCGAAGGACTCGCCACCAGAACACACGGACCTTGGGCAGCACTTTTAGTTTCCATAGTCGCGTCCACACCTGCTTATTGTTCTCTGAAGATCCTGTAATTGTCCCTTCCTCTAGAGCTAACTGCTCGTTACGAGTCATTAGAGCACGATACGCGGATTTTACAGTGTAGGAACCCGACCTCTCATGAGCCCAAGCCCAGAAATCATCACCACCACCATGTCTGAGAGGAATATTGAGAATTGCATCAGCTTCTGGGGGTATGAAGTTATTCCTGACTAGATCAGCTTTCCAGGACCAGCTCTCATTGTCAATCAAATCTGCCACTGTGTAGAGTGTAGCAGAACCAATCTGCTCCGTTGGTCGAAGTGATAATCTCCCTGGCAGCCATCTATCTTCCCAGATTCTTACGGAGGAACCGTCCCCGATCCTCCTCAACAGCCCAGCCTCCAATGCTCCTCTCCCAGCCACTATCGCCCGCCAGGTAGCCGAAGCGTTGCGCGGAACAGTAGCATGCATAAAATCAGTCGTCGGGAAATATCTTCCTTTTAGAACTCTGGAACATAGACCATGCGGGTTTGTAATCAGCCGCCATCCCTGTTTTCCCAACAACGCAACATTGAAGCATTCCAAATCTCGAAACCCCATTCCTCCTCTTATTTTTGGAAGCGACGAAGACTTCCAATCTATCCAGTGCATGGAATTTCGGTCAATCAAGCTACTCCACCAGAACTTTGCCATCGGTGAGGAGATGTTCTTATACACTTTTTTTGTGAGCTTGAAGCAACCCATAGTGTATGCCGGGACTGCTTGAGCCTTTGACTTGATTAATATCTCCCTCGCCACACAAGACACCAAATCGTTCTGTACCACCATTCAGTTGTGACCTCACTCTCTCACCAATGAAGTCAAAGGTACCAGATGTAATTCGTCCAACTGTAGTGGGAAGACCCAGATATCTTTCATTGAATGCCTCTACCCCAATGCCTGTGGCACCTTTCAGCATAACTCTCACCGGATGTGTTGTGTTTGGACTGAAAAAATAGAGCTCTTGTCTCTGTTCACGCATTGGCCCGAACAATCGCCATATATCCTCAAGATGTTATTCAACCTCGTCACACTCTCCAGTTTTGCTTGCATAAAGATAAGGCTGTCGTCCGCAAACAGTAGATGATTAATCCACGATGACTGGGTGCATACTCAGATTCCTTTGTCCGCATGGACTCCATCAAAGTTGTTCAACAGAGTTGTGAAGCCCTCCGCGCACAGAAGAAAAAGATACGGTGAAACGGGATCTCCTTGCCTGAAACCTCTAGATGGGGTAAAAAAGGCAGTAACTCACCATTCACACGTACTGCAAACCGAACCGACGAAACACATTTCATAATCAGTCGGATAAATATTGAGCTGAATCCCAATTTAGTCATGATAGCTTCGAGATAATGCCACTCAACACGGTCATATGCTTTCATCATGTCTAATTTGACTGCACAAACCCAATTCTTTCCCTTCTTCCTCTTCTTCATTGCGTGAACACTTTCGTGTGCAATAAGAACATTATCCGTGATGAGACGCCCGGGCACAAATGCACTTTGCTCCTCACCTATTATTTCATGGAGAAAATCCCTCATCCTGTTGACAATGCATTTGGAAGCGATCGCTCAAAACACTCGATTGCTGGGATCGGGGAGATCGGGCTGCTGGCCTGCTGCTCCCTGGCGCGCGCATGCCTATATGGGCCATAGGCCTATAGGGTACGTACATACATCTCGGGCCCCCCTTGATTTTGGGGGCCCGAGGTGGCCTCCCCCTGCCCCTCACAGGGCCGCTCTGCATCCATGCCTAATACGACTGTGCTGGCAACTTCGTTGGAGGGCATGACAACCCATGACAAGGTATTTAAGATGAAGTTGCTGATGTACTTGATCTCGTATTCTTTGAGCCTACCACGTTGCTGCGCCCAAGCAACAAGTGCTTCCCTATCCTAGTGAATGCTCTCTCTACATTCTTTTTCCTATAATCTTCTGCTTTTGATGTCATGTAGAAGCTAGTCACTGCCAGTTTGATGTTTTTATTGACCATCGATGTGGCATCTTTTGTCCTGAATGCTTTTGTGCAGGTGAAACTGAAAGATGTTAAAAACATGAATTGGTGTAAATTCATTGCCGACTTCCTGCATGATGCATTCTCAAATAAGATGTACCAGAAGCGCTGCCGCCTGCAACTAATGGTATGCTCTTACCATGGTTCATTCTTTCCTCAATCACTTTTACAGTTGTTCATAAGTGGCAACCTAATTGTTTTGCACGTGGCATCTCTGTTTGGCCATACTCTGTCAACCCTAGTTTGATAGAGCTTTAACTGATTTTTGCTTTCTCGATGACAACCATAGTTGATCGTGTACGGCAAATTTCATTTTTTGTTTTTTTCACATGTCAAAGTGAAGTTGCTAATACATGGCAACTGCAGTTGCTGTCTACATGGCAATTGCCCTTTTCTACAACACACATAGTGTTCACTTCCTCTACTTTTTTTCATTCATTTTAATTAGTCAATCATGGCAAACATACGTTCACGCCCATGGCAAATCTTTCTTCTTTATTTTGAACTTGTGACTCAAGGGAGACTGTATTGCCAACGACGTTTAAAATGTAGTTATTTTCCTTTCCTTTTTCGCCGCATCTTTATCTGTTTTCTTTTTTTTGCACAATACCGATCACTGACATATTTTGATTTTCTTACTCGCTTTATTGTGTAAACCAACTCATGTATGTCGATAATCTTGATTTATCCACTGTTGACTTCACTGAGATAGGAGGTCCGCCGCCTCCACATAAGTTTGTTGTTTCTGCCTGGAGTTATGATGCTGTCAAGGCTGTGCTTGCCGCAGACAGGATTTGTGATACAAAATATGGGAAACTATAGGTTAGTTTGACTTCTTTCTTGCACAACACTCTTGAAAAACACTGATGGAAATAATATGAATAAACCACAACTGATCCATATTGGTTGTTCATAGTTTTTCTTTTTGAAGAGGGGAATATATAGCGTATACAACATGGCAAATACGTTCGGTTCTGCGTGGAAAATGCAGAATACTTTATTTGGCATCCATATTCTAATTTGTGCACTCAACTTTGTCTGCACATTCCATTCGACCACCTCACCATTTTTATTATGGCTAACAATTCATAAAGAACTTGGCAACCATGGTTGTCTGCACATGGAAACCATGGTTGTCTCCATATGGCAACTTTGCCGTTGCCCCTCGAATACCTTTTCCTTTCAATCCATGCCCATATTCACTGCTTCTTTTTTACCTCTTTTTCAGCT